GCGTAATTCGTTCATCACTTGCACCTGGGTGATTAAGTAAGATGTTTTTTTTACAGCATTATAAAATACTACTTATTCTCGTTTATAAGTAGGCTATTGAGACTACAGGTCGATCGGACATATGATATGTGTAGTCTGTTAGTTGACTGAGGTTTCATTTTTGACGCACCTGAATCACTATTTTAGAGCGATCAGCTTGTCTGTTATCGTGCCGAAATGGAGATTCACTTAGGCCCCCCAACCGAGCGGTAGGTGGATTATATCAATTTGGCACGCGAAATGCAACAATATTTCCCTTTTCATGCTATCTCCAATCTCGGCTCACGACAGTCTGGCTGAATGGATTGGTGGGAAATGATGAGGCAGGATAACAAAGCGACTTTTGTTAATTTGCTCGGCATTGTCTTTCGAGTCTGGGATTAGACAATCCACTTGAATGGGCCGTCTTCAGACGTCCAGAGGGTGAGTGCAAGCCCGCTTTGATGACGCCTCCTTTCGAGCAGGCATGTACCACTCCCATTACCAATCGCTGCCTCGCCTCTAATCCCCATTGTCACCGGGGCACACGTGCAGGAGACATTTTCGCGAGAGTGCAACTCGAATTCGTCCTCTCCACCCTCAAGCCGGCCTCCAAAGGTCTCTACTCTCACACCTTCTTTTGACTACTGGTCGTCACGACAACTAAACACACACACACACACTTACATATCCTTTCAATCCCAGCTTATGTGGCCCAGTGGGATGTGCCAACCAAAGGCCAAAACCCTTCTCCAACCCTCATACCCATGCTCATACAAATAGAAAAAAACGCACATTTTTTTGCTTACATACATACAAACACACATGCATGCATACACACTTTCACGTATGCAGACATGTTTGCATGTGTGCTTGCCTATTCACACGTGGAGGGGTGGAGAGATGGAGAGATGGGCGATGAAAGTGGACGAATGTCAACTGAAACGTATCCGCGTCGGCGCGAGTGACGCTGCGACTGGAGGGAATCGGGCCAGTGGGCGTCGCAGTATAAATAGCCGTTGCCAGCGCCGCAGAATCAGAGCAGGTTAGAGCCGATTCGACAGTCCACTTGCGAATCCGAGTTCGAGTCCGAGTCCGAGTCCGAGTCCGAGCCCACGTCTACGTGCCCGTCGACGTCGACATCGTCGCCGTTGTCAGCCGGTCGCGAAGGAGCGAGAGAGACCGTCGCGAAATGGCCACCACAGACCGGCCCTCGGCCAGAGGGCGTCAATCGAGTCGGCGCGACACGTGCTTGGGCCGGTTCGGCCA